GTATATGTTTGATATGCAGAAGTATTGATGATTTATTGACTTATCATTATCAATCAAAACTACGTCTCACTATGATTTACTTGCCTGTCAAGTGTTGATTACATCATTGCTTCATTATCTCTCATTAACGAGTTACGTTCAACGTTCAAAATATCTTGTTTTCGCTGTCAACATTCAAAATCATATCAGTGGAAACATAATCACAGGATTAACAATACAGAGAAGGAAACGACGGAGACATCCAGACATGGACGTTGTCGAAACATTACAACACTGTTATTGTGCAAAATTAACAATCTATTTGTTAGAAACATTGTTTAAATCGAAATGAATTCTCTGATAACGAGACGATTGCTTGATACGAGCAGTAGTTTGTTAGAAAATGACAAATTCTTGAAGTATTGATGACGAAATTAGTTTGCCGTAAATCATTGTCTGTACAACACGTTGTCTAAACATCGCACGTAGACATTGTTTAAACGTTACTTTTAAAAGCCCCGCAATCGTTCATGTGTAACGTGACTTGAAGTGACTAACGTTTTCAGGACGTGTTAATAGGATATAAGGCACAGTTATAGACTTTGGAAAAGCCGAGGATACAACAAGGTATCATTTATCCTTAACATCAATAACAATTCAAACTTTATTTCTAAGTATTCCGACTTCAGATTTTTATGAAAGTTGAACAAGTTGATTGCACATTGTATTACACATGTAGAATTAGATAAATATAGCCAAGTAACAAATAAAACTAAATTACACAGCTTGTCCCCCTTTCTAGGACTCCTTCTAGGGGGGGGGGGAGGTGAGTATAACACCGATTGCCATCATTATTATATACATTGTTATAGACCACGGATTACAGCAAGATCTGCTCTTCGTAAATTATTAAATACATCTATTCAGGAAGGAAAAATAAATTTGCTCAGTCTTTTGCGTCAGTTAAAAAAGTCAATTTACGGAGAAATGAAACATAGAGAGCAAGGGAAAAGTGGCCAAACAGACAACATTATGATGGCAATCGGTGTTATACTCACATTTCCTCCTAAATTGTGCCGATTTTGGCCTAAAATTTTGGACAAAATGTATTTTTTTCTACAGGAGAAATATTATCTTAAATAATTTGCATTATTTCCAATAGTAAGCCCAGTCCCCTTCTGTTGCAGAAAATATATATATATACATAAGGACACTGGCAGCTGGACACCGGTTACCGCGGTATGCATTAAGCTTACAGGTCCTTCAGACCTGGGGAGCTAAAACACGACAAATATACAACACAGGTAACACTTAACCAGGCAATAGAAATAGGTGTCTTTGGTAAAATCATTCAGTTCTCAATCCGTATTACAAATTTGTTTTTTAGTGGAAATATATAGGCTGGTATGAAGCTATGTTGAATTTCTTGCAGCGAAGTTGTAAGGCACAGTAATATAAGACTTCCAATAACAACCAACGTCATCAAATTAACATATTTATGTCACTGAAGCCTCTGCCCTCGTCAGCTCATAGAAATATACAAATATATGTACATCTAGACGAAACGTATTGATGGTACGTGAACGTAACCGAACGAAATCTTAGTGGTAGATGTCACTAAACATACACTGATTTTTTCGCTATTTGAAAGTTCTGTAAACTGACAGAGATTCAAAGAACACTAATAAGACCGATCAAAGACAGGTTTCTCATCTTTCATCTGTGACTCGTGGACAATGAATCTGTCGGTATACTGAGTATCCTCTAAATTCAGGTAAAGCAAATTTGCCAAATATGGTAAAAATCAAGATGTGTAAAGACGCTATTAAAAACCGCCACGTAACAATGACTTGGCTTAACATTAGCAGTATAATATTGCAATATTCAAGGCAAGGATTTTTATTTACGAAGCATTGTTCCTTTAGAAGAAAAAAATCCGTATTTATTAGACGCATTTCTCATCCTTCTGCTGTAACGATGTCATTTCGATCAGATTTGTTTGGGAAGATCAGTGGACCACGCGGCCCCCCTCCCCCCATGTACTAATAGATAACAGCTGGATATGATGTACTAATAGATAACAGCTGGATATGATGTACTGATAGATAACAGCTGGACATGATGTACTTATAGATAACAGCTGGATATGATGTACTGATAGATAACAGCTGGATATGATGTACTGATAGATAACAGCTGGATATGATGTACTGATAGATAACAGCTGGACATTATGTACTGATAGATAACAGCTGGATATGATGTAACAGCTGATAGATAACAGCTGGATATGATGTACTAATAGATAACAGCTGGATATGATGTACTGATAGATAACAGCTGGACATGATGTACTGATAGATAACAGCTGGACATGATGTACTGATAGATAACAGCTGGATATGATGTACTAATAGATAACAGCTGGACATGATGTACTGATAGATAACAGCTGGATATGATGTACTAATAGATAACAGCTGGATATGATGTACTGATAGATAACAGCTGGACATGATGTACTAATAGATAACAGCTGGATATGATGTACTGATAGATAACAGCTGGATATGATGTACTGATAGATAACAGCTGGATATGATGTACTGATAGATAACAGCTGGACATGATGTACAAATAGATAACAGCTGGATATGATGTACTGATAGATAACAGCTGGATATGATGTACTGATAGATAACAGCTGGACATGATGTACTAATAGATAACAGCTGGATATGATGTACTGATAGATAACAGCTGGATATGATGTACTGATAGATAACAGCTGGACATGATGTACTAATAGATAACAGCTGGATATGATGTACTGATAGATAACAGCTGGACATGATGTACTGATAGATAACAGCTGGATATGATGTACTGATAGATAACAGCTGGACATTATGTACTGATAGATAACAGCTGGATATGATGTACTGATAGATAACAGCTGGACATGATGTACTAATAGATAACAGCTGGATATGATGTACTGATAGATAACAGCTGGATATGATGTACTGATAGATAACAGCTGGATATGATGTACTGATAGATAACAGCTGGATATGATGTACTATTCCAAATGTTAATTACCCTATATGTACTAATAAAGACCAGACAACAATGATTTTACATTACTTTATTTCTATATAAAAAAGTAACATGTAATCGAGTACATTGGCATCTATTATCGTACAATCCAGATCGATATGCCGTGGAATAAAGGTAATTATAACATGTATATATATATATATAGAACGTATTTAAAACTAGCACCGGTTACATAGAGTCCGGAATGTGTTTACGATCTAAAACAAATAATTACAGTGCTCTCTAATAATAAGTGAGACTCAGAAAAGTATATATACATAAGTATTTATCATTTATCAGTCACCATATAAACAGTTTGCCGTATACAGTAACAGACTGTGGCCAAACTTATATACAAATATTTGCTCCATATATTAAGCCAATACATAAGAAAACAGTATCTACTTTCGATTTAGTCATATTGGTATTCTGTTTCGTTGTTGATTTCTACCTGTATAACCCTAGCTTACCCAAGTCTTAGGTAAACTCGATAAATATCAATTTCGTCACGGTTGATATCACACTGTTACATCTAAAAAAATATATTGAAGTAATAACTATGTATTAAAGCATGTCACAAACATTTTAATGAAATCGTGAGAATTATCGAGAGGTAATGGACTGTAATGTATCAGTACCATATGTTCCTTGTCCTGTGTCCTATGGACATTAAAAAAAAGTCTGATTTGTGATAGCATTTTTTCCGTACTCGTTACAGCAACAATTACGAGAGTAAAATGCATCGATACTGAAAATTCCGTCGTTTTTAGGTATTGATTCGACAAACCGGAAATGCTTTTGGCTAATAAAATCCAAAAAGAAAAGTGACTTATGTATCTTAAATAAAGGAAAGAATGGCGTTCGGAACTAACTCAAAAGACATCAATTAAATAACAATGGGTCTGTGTCGAACATGTAGAAAATTTATGAATTACAATTTGATTTTGTAATGGACAAAAATAGAAAGTACATGATCATTTTTTCCATAAAATTAATGCAATTGGTACCTTCTCATGTTTCTATAGTAAAAGTGTAAAAGCTAAGCTTGTGTTCGCTTATCCAAAACTAGAACCCTTAAACACATACGCCTTGAAGATAGAATTGATAACATATCTAGATAGGCAATCTTATCAAGAAGTCGCTAATTATCGTTTCACTCAAAGCATGGTTTACAATGAAAACTGCACGATATGAAAATAAAATCAGTTTGCATTCAGAACTGATTTATATATAAAAATATATTACCCCTCATCTCGATTAAGTTGAGGTGGACTTTGACCTATCCCGGCAGCATGACTTTGTTAATGTTTCCGTCCATCATCTTTATTATCGTAACATTGTAGTAATAAAACGCAGCTACCATACGAAAATATACCGAAAGACTCCAAATCTCTTTGTGACTTGAGCAAATGAGTCAGAAAAATCAACAGTGATATTTGAGATTCACTGATGAAATGACAAACATAAAAATGACGTCATCAACAGGTAAGATGAAACCAATATGGTTAGTTTGTTCTTTGCCTTTCTGTCCTTCTCACACTCACAATATTTGTCTACATATTGATGTATTTACTTACTCACTCACTGGATTAAGCTTTCTCCAGAACACAACCTTAATCTACTTAATTTGACATAAGTAATTTTAAACCGAGTAAATGTGACAAAAATCAACCGGTTCAAAACAATTATATGATTAATTTATCAAATAACTAAATAACAAATTGCACTTTTAGCTATCTAATTAAGACCACCTGCCACGTGACATTTCTAAAATAAAACTCTGCAGTCACGAACGTATCAGATTTGTAATAGACTCAGTCCAGAATTTACTTTGTATATTGAAAGGCAACTGGCGATTTGGTCAAATGTATTTTTCCCTTTGTTTCTTAAGCACGTATATTAGCATATCTTCGGCCAAGTGTCTACATCGTCAACTTAGCCCTTGGTATGTGTAATCCTTGTACGTCATTGTTCTCCATTAGCTTTTGTACCTTCCCTCTAGAACGGACAATAAGCGTCGCTAACACAACACAGGCTATGAGCATGACCAATACAAGCGCAGACATGGCTATGATTACGATTATGATCTCACTGGACCGGAAGCAGTCAGACTCTTTCTCAACTGAAAGTAGAAAGGAATGATCTTATTAGTATAATTTCATAGACCTATTCAAATATCATTCTTAAATATATTTGTAATGGGAACAGATTGTAAACATAGGGAATTGAAAGCACTTTGAAACTATATATGTACCTTTTAAGTTGTTTTCATAATACATAGTAATTTTATTGAATCTTATATGTAATGGAATACATGTGGACATGGCGATTTTATTATATTTACCAATTTCTCTGTTAGGTAGGACGATAGGCTCCTCTACAATTGTGAATAGGCCTGACACTGTCTGCTCGTCTGTACCGTTACTGTAATTATCCGCACTACGTCGCTTCCTAGACATGGCTTGGCCATTACAGTTAGGCTAAAAAGACATAACGAGCTAATCAAACATGTTTTACCTATTTACAAATTCAATTAATGATCCCGATTTATCATAGATTATCGTTAGCAAATGCCAGGCTATAATATATAGTTTATGGTTATTACGTTATCCTTGCAACATAACATACAAAAGATGTGAGACCAAAATGTGTCGACAATATTCATACAAAATATTACATTATTTGTTTGGCAGAGTTTAAAGAGATTTACACTTATGTATAGAATTTTGTGCTATTTGATCAACAGTTTTAAAATACCGACTATTATTTTGTTACCTCAGGCTAACTGTATCATATAACGGACTTGACATGGTTTCATAAAATATGACATTATATATATACATTTAAGTATCGGCATTCACAATAGATTGGCATAGTCCACTATAAGAAGAAAAAACGTGCATATTTCAATCATATAAGGTCTTTGTGATTCTTTTACAAGAAAGAACACGACAGATTTTGTTTAACTTGTTTTCTGTTAAAAACTATGCAATAGAATGGCCGAAACGAGAGCATGCTGGGTTGGATTCACTCTCTGACTGGAGCAAGTTCATTCGGTTCATCATTCGTATAAGAATTTGCAGCTTCAAATCGAAAATGAAAACAAAACACAGGTCAGCTTTCCTCGATCCTGATGTTAAATCTACACTTTAAGATTCCTATGATAGGTATGTAATTGTGCCTGCAGATAAGGCGTCCAATAACTAGATCCTTTTGTGCAAGCATTATTACATTTCCTCTATGCAAAAATAAATTTGCTTGTTTTATAACGAAGTAAACCCCACCAATACATTATGTAATCTTTCAAAAGACGAAATACTATCTAATCATACTTGGATGTTACAATAATTTAGATTGCCTATTAATGATAGGGATGAGGACCTCCTCTGTTTTTACTGAATAAACAACATTTTATCGTCTAGCTGTTCTACCAAGCCTTTGTCAAAACTACTAACCACCATTCTAAGTACAATCAAATCTGAGTTACAGTGTTATTGCGATACTGTTTCCTCAAAGAGTGGTATCAGTGTTTTACCAATCTTCATCTCCCTCTTCTAAAACCTTCTATAAGAACATTTGATTTTCCCTCCCTATACACCTCTATTTCTTTGTGTGATATGAAGCTGGAAGTGTTTGATGCACGTTAGTTTGTCTATTGGTTCTGTTGTGTGATATGAAGCTGGAAGTGTTTGATACACGTTAGTTTGTCTATTGGTTCCGTTATGTGAAATGAAGCTGGACGTGTTTGATGCTCATTAGTTTGTCTGTTGGTTCCGTTGTGTGATACGAAGCTGGAAGTGTTTGATGCACGTTAGTTTGTCTATTGGTTCTGTTGTTTGTATATTTACTCTTCCAGAATAACTGGCCTTATTCTCCTTGTACTTTTTTTCAGGTGCCATGTAAATCTTTAATTTGTTTATATTTATGTTGCTGTTTCCTGTTATTCTTGTTTTGTTTTTTGTTTTTGTTTTTGTTACACAGAATAATTAATGTCTTCAGAAAACTGACTACAATCATTCCTTACTATAGCACAAGCTGCTTCGTCCTCTGGCTTACAAATCTTCACCACACATTGGATGAAAACTTGTTTTGAGTCGTAAAATCGAAAACCTAGCATGTGTAGGGCTGCGGCGGGGATGGGAGCTGGAAAGTCTGGAGGGGTATACTCCATCTTAACTTGACCAGGAGGATCCTGCATCACCAAATTACCGTCCGAGGTTGGGCATCTAAAATTCAACAATATACATACAACCATGTGTTAGATGTTATCTTTTTTATAGCAATCAATACTATTTGTCCCAGGAAATGTTTGTCATTATATCATTGGTAATTCAATGAAAATATGTATATCTGCGATGTACTTGTTAAGCATAATCTGTAATTACATAGCAATGTCAAAGTATCCATTAGCTAGTAGAGAAGTCCAACTTTTAATGTGTAATCTTTCACGGTTTCTTCGATATCATCAATAGTTATACTTTTTATGATTCTGTAGATTGAAATCGATCTTTACTTTTATAAACAAGAAAACAAGACCTTACCCATTATCAAGAAGAACAACTTCAGTCTGTGTTCCTTCTTCACCGTTATTGGCTACACACTTCTCCAACAAAAGGGCGGTATATACTGAAATATTACCAGTTTCTAATAAACTCGGGGTAATGGACACAACTCGTGACCTTTAACATATAACAAAGTACGATATTGTCAACAATGATGTATAGATCTATGTATACATTCAATGCAACACACTTCTCCAACAAAAGGGCAGTATATACTGAAATATTACCAGTTTCTAATAAACTCGGGGTAATGGACACAACTCGTGACCATTAACATATGACAAAGTACTGAATCAACAATGCTGTATATATCTATGTATACATCCAATGCAACACACGAATTTTCAATGTAGAGTCAGACGTAAAAAAAATACAATTGTACGTCACTTCTATAAGAGAATTCACCATTTGAATATTTGTATTTCCGTGTGTATACGTGTTAATAAGATTATACAAACTCAATTACTTATAATACCTTTGTTTGATTGGATATTGTTATGTTAACATATATCACACTGTCTGTTCAAGTAGGATATACTTCACAGCGAACACATCTTACCGTCTGTCGAAATAAGGTACACCATATTCGTGAATTTTTCTCCCACATAGAGAGCACGATCCAGTACATTCTTATCTTCATCCAGGAAGTGGAATCGAACTGGAGAATATGTCTTTTTCTCTTCGTTTCGTGTCAGATTACCTCTACAGACAAATGTATGTAAATAATGACAAAGCAATATTCTCTGTATATAGTCTTAAATATTAAAATAATCCAAGTAAAATGATCAATTCCATTTCATTTCGTTGATTTCATTGACATTATTCATCCAGGGATATCCTCAATCTTGATTACCACGATGTTTATTCGTTTATGTTTATATGTGATCCAACATAACATGAATCAAAGAAATAGGCATTTAAAAAGATGATAAAAAATCTTGAAACTTGAATTCCAGGATAATATATGACTTTCCGTAAGAACGAAAAAACATACGACACGATATGATTTTTTTTTTAATTTTCACGTTTCTTGTAAAAAGGCGTTAAATGATTCCTTAATATAACTAAAAGCGATATCAGCTATATTAGTTTGTGAAAGATTAAATATGATTTTATTGTTACATATGTAAATATAAAATTTGATAAACGAATAGATCATAAAATTAAATGTTTGATATCAAAGATGAAATAGAGACAAACACGAATATGATTCAGATGAATACATACCGTTGGTTGACGGAACTGTCAAGGTCTGCTTCCATTGAGACGTTTGAGGCAGGATGAGTACAGTTGAAGGAGATGATACGGTCGTTTCTTGTCTGGATGAAGGAATGAAATCCAACCACAACATCGGTTATGTATGTGATGTCCCCTGCCTAAAATTGATAATCAGTTTTGTTAGCAAGGCTTCCTACCTGTGATTCTAACACAACACAAGCTTCCAGTGGTTTCTGTCCTCATCTGTAGTTGATAGCACAACACAATTTTACACGTGGATATATATGATTCTCACCACAGTGATTGCTAGATCTGTAATTTAATATCACAGTAATCTAAAAGTTTTAATTTTTTAAGTTACGATATAATAATTCTAACCAGATAATCTGTTGTTTTAGTCACGTCCCCTGAATACCATTCTAAAACACAACTACGTTTAAAAGCATTTCTAACCTTGCCTAGCCATTACATAATAACTCTGATTTCAAATGCGTTTAATTTTCACTACCAGAAATGTACCGACAAAACCGTCAATTAAGATGTTTTCTGTATGAAAGTTTACTGTAATGAAGTCATGATGGCAGAGTGTAAAAAAACACCAAATAGATCTCATGTCTGTATGATTAGATAAGCCAGAACAGAGAGGGAAGGATACTTTGAATTCAAAATTGAAACGTGTTTGTTATATACTAAAAGGATAAAGAAACGCAGGGTGAACTTTAAACCAGAAATTAAGTATGATATCGGGCTTCATTTAAAACGAAATTTTGTATACTTACAGATAAAGTAAAGCTTAAAAATGTCCAAAGTCTGTATTTTGCATCTGACAATTGGTTTAGAGGTACTAACGATTAAATTGAATGGACCCATAGGATTTTGAAATTGAATCTTGTGTGTCCGCCGTTTGCTGTGGTCACGGCCCTTATTCTTCTGGTCATAGAGTTCATGAGAGCGTTAATCCGTCTTATGGGGATGTTGTCCCACTCTTCAATCAGAGCTCTGGTCAACTGCTCTCGAGTAGCAGGGGGTGGCTGGCGCTTTCGAACCTGTCTATCCAACTGGTCCCAAAGATGCTCGATCAGGGCTATATGGCGGCCAATCTAGTGGTTGAATGTTGTTGTTGGCCAGAAAGACTTGGCAAATCCTTGCTACGTGGGACCTAGCATTATCCTGCTGGAGGGTTAGATTATGCTGCTGTAAGAAAGGGATAACATGGGGTCGGAGGATCTCATCTCTATACTTAGCTGCTGTTAAATTGCCATTAATAACAACCAATTGTGATTTTAACCCGTGTGAGATTCCACCCCGCCCCCAAACCTATCGCTCTCTACAACGCAAGCGTCCGTAAAACGTTCGCCACGACGACGGTAGACACGTTGACAGCCGTCAGATCGATATAGACAGAATCGAGACTCGTCCGTGAAGAAAACTTGTCTCCACTGCCTCAGTGGAAACCGTCATGGAGCATGTGCATCGACCCAGGCCATACGACGCTGACGTCGAGCAGGGGTAAGGTGTGGACCTACGGAGGGGCGACGTGCTCTTACATCAACTTCTCGTAATCGATTTCTTACAGTATTTGAACTTATAGGACGCCCATGATTTCAGTGCACTCTCAACGACAGTAAGGCGCCGATTACGCACATGATAGACGACGATATAGCGATCCTGACGTCGTGACGTTACGCGCGGACGTCCTGACCTAGGTCGATCGGCCAATCGCCCAGTTTCCCGAAGACGTCTTACAAGACGTTCTATGGTGGAAATATTAACACCCAAGTGCCTAACCTGATTTTGCAGCTGTCCTTGCATCAGCATCTGAATGGCCTGACCCCTCTGCACTTCTGTGATTCTTAAAACGAATCAAGTTCTCAATTAATTTTAGGGAAGCAGTTGGTCTGATTGAAAGACTAACGAAGAGTGACTTGACCAACGCTGCATGAAACCAGAACAACACGGTGCACGAGATTCTTGTGTTTTCCTTCCTCCATTTACCAGAGCTGCGCACTGTACCGTGACTAAATTTTCGATACAAGACAAGGTGTAATATGACCTAATTACTCAATCCACAAAGTTTCACTTTATTTGGAGAACGCGTTTTCAAAATATCGGAATGCGTTTCTTTATCCTTTCAGTATATGTTTGTTTTGCTTTGATACGATTACGGGGAAACTATATATATACCTCTTTAAAATGTAAATCCATGAAAGCTACTCCTACAGAACCAGACACCTACCATTGGATAATCTTTGACTTCTGTCGCTGCACATGTAGAGTTATCAAATGTTATAGATGACGTAAATTTACGGTAACCAGTCACTTCACTAGTCTCCTCTGTAAACCGACAATCTGATCGAGACATTGCTCCATAAATGGCGCCACTGAATCCTTCTGGAACCATCATATTGATTTTCATCTCTACGCCGAGGCATTCCCAAGAATCTTAAAAACAGTAAATGTTTTAAACAAATAAAAACATCTGTCTTTGTGAAAATAGACAAAACCTCCGAATCCAGTCCTTATGTCTACAATTAATATGTAAAAAGATATTTACGCATTTTGTACAAATGACTTTTCTGGCAGGCAAACCATCATTTAATACACCAGTTGTATTCTCTAATGATGTAAATATTTACGGAGTTGCCGTGACATTGACAACATACCATGAGATATAATTCCGCTGTATTAGGAGACTCCTCTCCATATATTTTGTTTACACATTGATTGTAAAAGTAACACAGATTGTGAGTAGGGAAAATATAGTCTAACGTGTAGGAAAACCCTGTATCAATCCAGAAACTACATCTTCCTGATTTTTTAGCATTTATCTCAATTGTAAGACATTGTCAAAACAAATAAATACATAGATATATTCCTGCTGTAGAAGACCTATATAAATATGGCGAGAAATCGATCTATGAAAAAATATTTTGAAGGGGAATATATCCCCCTTTGTATTAAGTAGGTCACTGTAAAAAAAACACTGGTTAATTTAGCTGGATCGCTTTAATAACTGTCTTCTTGGAGTGGAATAATAATAATAAAAAGAAAACAAAACCGAAACCGAAATACTAACCATCGCACAGACATGACGGTGTCGTATGTTGAAACAACACAATTATTGGAGATCACTGAATATAGTATATTTAATACAGAATCAATTATATTTTCATTAGACAATTTAATATCAAGGATACCAAAAGGAATTTTTGAATTTTCTGTCTAAATATTAAAACATTTTAACTTACCCATACATGCTTCATGTTTCAACTCTAATATAACATTGTACCTTCTTGATCAAGTACTCAGTATGCACTACTTAAAATTACATTAAAATTATTTTCGTTTCCAGCAAAATATTTTAATATTAACATTATGTAAAAAAAACCACGTATGAGTTGATTCTGCTATAGTCAAGACATTTCACGATTAACATGGAAGTATTCATATATTACATAAATGTCTATCCATGAATGCACTAGTAATATATGTAAATATTAGATACCTGTTGACTTAATTAAACTATGAAGAAAGGTGTCACGACACTAATGACTGTATAACTATATACATGCATTCTTTATTTGTTTCGTTATCTAATCAACTGACACGCCAAGACCCTATCGAAACCTTAAGCTTAGTTAATGATCTTAATCTATATTCAAAAGCATCAAACATTTTATGCTCCGAATATCATGATCAAACGAGAAAGAGTTACCTCCCTTCTGATGCATTACACAATTCCATACTAACGAGCGTGCTTGCAGTTGGATTAACATTGACTTTTTGTAATTGCTTTAACATTTCCTAAATTAAAAAAAAAACCTTGTGTCGGAGGATATATATATACACAATATTTTAAAATATTGCTGAGACAGAATTTTACGGATACATTTACAATTTTCCACTATCTAAAACGTGGTATTTACTATGACAAGATTTACAATTTTCCACTATCTAAAACGTGGTATTTACTATGACAAGATTTACAATTTTCCACTATCTAAAACGTGGTATTTACTATGACAAGATTTACAATTTTCCACTATCTAAAACGTGGTATTTACTATGACAAGATTTACAATTTTCCACTATCTAAAACGTGGTATTTACTATGACAAGATTTACAATTTTCCACTATCTAAAACGTGGTATTTACTATGACAAGATTTACAATTTTTCAAACAAAACAAAACCTCTTTGGTGTATTGTGATAATCATAATATTTCTATTTGCTCTCCTATCCTTCGCGTTTGATGGATGAATATCAATTAAGAAGATTTTATGTGAAAGTCATTGATTTATTCGTCTTTTGTTTAGCATTTTGACTCCTTTGCTAAAAGTTGTGAATATATGTTTCCGATGATGATAACACATTAAAAAAAAACAGACAACCCAAACAAGCCCAAACAAATAAAATTGTATCACAGATTGTTGCCTAGAAATAAACATTACGAACATAGAAACCAGGATACTGAACACGAATACTGTACACTGTAATTATACCGAAACCGATTAGGTCATGCTTGTAGATAATATGGTACACACAACAAGTAAAAAAGCATGCTAACAATATATCAACAGTCGGACCTTCAACAGACGAAACCCTTCAATACAGATCTAAAATTTCCTTTCATCATATGAAACAAAATACAAATGGTTTTACATTGTTTGGTGTTTGGAGCTATATAAACAGGCAATCGTAGAAATATACGCATGACGGAACCTGCTTGTCTTTTCTTTCTCGTCTTATATCGGAGTATATCTAGAATTGAAAAGAATATCGACACCCACAATATCAGATTAGTTTTATTTTATTGATAAACATGCAGTTATGTAATCATTACACAGTGAAACCTCAATATGATATTCATTGGCTCATTTTCGAACTGTCTCTCTTCAATATCGAAATGTTCTTTAGCATAAACAACGTATATATAATTACACCTATTTATCATCAGGCTGTCTTCAAAAAACATAAATACATAAAAGAAATTATGACAGTATAGAGAGGTTTCTCTGTGTATTCAAGCATTGCTAAGGGTATTCTCAAACATATTTGTAGATTCATTCTTCACCTTTTGCTTTAACATACAACAAAAAATGACCGAAACAAAAGATAGATATGACACAGAAGCTAACGCGAAGTTAACAAGTCAGGAATAGTAAATATGAAATAAACGCATATTCGGGAGCCATAGACAAATATAAAACTAGAAAACTTAGAAACAACAAGAGGAACTGGGAATGTGGAACACAGGGCCGGCGAGGGTATGGAACGGTTGAAACATAAACATTGTATCGACAATATAGAGATGGAAACAGTGGAAACATTCATACACTGATACTGCAGAAAAGAGATATAAGGAAATATCTTGATCAAATTGTACAGCCGAAAACAAGGACACAATGAGGCAATATCAACGAACTTAAATTTAAAAAAGAATAAAAAAAACTCCCTTTGAATTTATTTCCGTTCATTGTTTAATATCGGAAAAATAACTTAGTAGATACAAGGGAAATGTTTGAGCATATCCATTAGTATCTAGATATTTAGCATTCTTAGTTACATGTATCATAGCGGGGTGATTGTTTGTAGAGACGGTTCTCATGATACACATCTATACGTTGGTTAGCAAGTCAATCAATGAAGAAATGTTAGTACATCTATACTCTAATGAAATGAAAGAGTTATAATAATGAACTGGACATGAAATGATAGATATAAAAAGATATATAAAGGAAAAGCAGTTGAGCTGATGCAGTTATAGGCTTGTAAATGACATAAAAAGGATTCTGTATATAAATGAATGAAGTGTTACAGATTTTATTGTGTGTCATGAAATGTATACTGTATACAATGTTTACAAATTATATCATTAATGATCATGTATCTAGACTGACCTGTCTCCATATCACAGGTAGGCCCATAGTGCGTGACTGGACAGTAACACTGATCAGTGTTGTAACAAATACCGCCGTTGGTACAAGGATCATCCACACAATCCTGCTCAGCTGGTGGCAACAACAGATTCAATTTATAAAAAAAACATAACACAATTATTCAGACATAGAATCATGCAGAGCTTGTTAATATTTCAACTATTGTTCACAAACTTTGTACTGCTGTTTTTATTAAGATAAATTATATAGTTTCCATTCCAACAAGTTTCTATTTCTTAAATAACATGTTCTTTTTTATTTTGTCAAGAAACACTATTCCTTAGGGAAGTAGAAATGTCCTTTGACGGTTTAGCAAATATGGTCCTCACCAATTATCTTTACTGGAAAATTAGCGCTGTGTTGTTGTTATTGTTTTGATCGCTATTTGTGTAATATAGACTAAGCAAACAAATTAAATATGTACAATTATGCTTAAAAGAACAAAAAGTATAATAAATAAAGAATTGTCTACCTATGGTGACGCCACAGTCAAACGATGTATACTCTGGATCGCAAACACATGATCCGTCCTGGCACTTGCCCCCGTTCTTACATTCATAACCATTTCGACGACAATTATATGGATTTTGTTCTGATGTCGCCTCTTGTGATAAAGACAGATCAAGCACTGGTCAAAAATAAAATAAAGAATTCATAAATATCACGTCATTTTGCTAAATTATTAGAAAACGTTCGAACAACTGTGTAACAATAGCACAAGGGAAACACCAAGAAGTATCAAAAATTATACACGACTTCATTAAAACTAGGGAAACATAAACGAAAGATTGACAGGGAGACTTCTGAAACAAGCTGAATAAGTTTAGGTGTTCCTGTAAGCAATAGGTCAACCAGATATATCCAGAAAACACCAATTTATCAACAGAATCAGAAGCTAAATGCGAAATATCTGAAACTTGAATAGTAGAATTACACGCAGACCCATGGTTAAGTACAAATAAAATAAGACTTACCCACAGACAGACATAACAGGAAAATTCCTAATCGAAACATCGCCATTCTGAAATTTCAAAATGATAATTCTAGAAATAGACAAAAATGCATTTTTCTAAGTTTACAACGTGATGTGAATTGGTTTTAATAAGACTAACTCAGCAAAAAATGTAACACAAAAACGAAAAAGTTTTATGAAGGATATTTAATATAACGACTCGTGTAAATGAATAGAAAAAAATGTATCATGAAAGAATTACCCATAATTTATCGAAACACAAACATAAGAAGCTGAAATCATAAAAAAAGAACATAAAAAAATTACATTTTGAAATAAGATATAATTAGATAAGGAATTCGATTTTATTATTAGTTTTTCAACTTAAGAATGATACTAGAGGTCTTATGTTGTATAATACAGGAGGCTGCATAGAGAAAAAATTGAGATGTGGATACATGCTTGCAATGTTAGTTGACTCCAACTCAAGGTGGTATTTACGATAGAAACCAACAGGCTAAATGATATTTACTCAAAGTTACACAAATACTAAATTTGTTAAAATACCTTTCTATTTTCAGATGTGAATGCAACTATCACATAATGAAAGTCAACTTGCTTTGAATTAATTCTATAAAGCTTTTGAAGCTATGAAACAAAAAATGATCAATATCAGTATTACTGCGGTAACTCTTAATTGGCTGTTTCTATTAAAAGGTTGAAGGTATCTACAACTCCTTTTTTAAAATTGCAATGAATCAACAAATCTAAATATTCTAAATAGTTTTCAAAAAGAGCCCATTAAGGTGTTGGAATAAAATGCCCAATCTCTAATGAAAAAATGACGCACGAGAAATTAGCACATTTTAATACAAAATCAGAATTAGATTACTAGAGTGTTTGGGCTACTGTATATTATCCAAAGTTGTATTTAATTGCACTATTTCACTCGTATGCGTTTTGTACAACCCGAAACACAGTTGAGCCATATGAACAAAATACGACAAAAACCGACCATTACAAGATTTAAGCAATGTAAAAATATTGGACAGAAACGTTTGGGTTTAAATAAATAATTGTTTCTCGAGGTAATTGTTATGTAAACTGATTATAACTGGTTATCTGAATTATTTTACAATTTTTTCCACATACAATTATATTGCGTTACATAAATGTGCCTGTTAAATGGTTCATTAGATATCGATGTCCAAAACCAACTAATTTGAAACAATGATTTGAAAACGATGACGGAGGCTTAATCCCAAAACATATATAATAAAGGATACTAAAAAAACAAAACCTGGTTCGTGTTACATTCCCACGCGTTATTTGATAAGCCAGATGAATATTTGCCGCCAGTGTTCTTTATAAACAGAGTCTCACGAAGAACACTATATGTAAATGTATATCTAAAAGTTAGAAAAAATAGATATCTGTCACAAATTCAATGGCAGGTGCCTTCCAAGTAACACGTTATTAAGCAGAGAGTTTTGTTGTTTCTGTTCACTGTTAACTAATTATACTCGTTGTTTGACATTTTCCTTCTTGGTTTTACAAATTATCTTAGTAACAGCTCTGTACAGATACCAGTAAAGATCTAAGGGCTGCCTGTTGGGTATAGAATCGTATGGAGTGAGGTAATTGTAATCTATACTAGTGTTTGAAAGAGGCGTCAAATAAAGCAAGCGTTTCCCCTCGATCTAGTATGTGGCGTTTGATAGATGGTTTTGTCTTTCATATAGATATTTCCATATGTGGTGTAAGCATCGCCTACGATTTACTGTAGGGAATAATTCAGTTTTTTCATCAGAGTGTCTGTTAGTTTAGTGTAGGATATTACATTTACATCGTTATAGAAGAGTGTCAAGACTACGGCATTGGTGATCTTTTTCTCAGGGGAGTGTCCGTCACTCAGAGTAGGATTGCCTATTTATTGATCGTAAGAGACAGTTTGTTTGTAAAGAGAATGATATTTCATATTCATTATCAGTAGGAGAATATATGAGAGTTAAGAGAATTATATTGCCTATTATCAGTTGGAGAGTATATGTTAGTAAAGAGAAGGATATTTCCTATTATAAGTAGGAGAGTATATGTTAGTAAAGAGAATTATATTGCCTATTATCAGTAGGAGAGTATATGAGAGTTAAGAGAATGATATTTCCTATTATTAGTAGGAGAGTATATGCTAGTAAAGAGAAGGATATTGCGTATCTATTATTTGTATGTTGCGGGAGAGTGTTTGCTAGTTAAGTGTAGTATATTACTTTTCCCCCGGAAATATAAATATAGAGAGTATAATTAATTGTGATTTATTGTTAAATTTTACTTCCCTTAACATAAGTTTCAAAATAAAATATCGTTATCATATTCTAAATTATCATGTTACTTTTAGTGAAGCCCAACTGACAAGTCCACTCTCATGTCATAGAAAAAAATGTATGAAGTGTTCACTTGATCAAAATATACCTTGATAATTATTTTCGCAATATCTGTTGTTTTGTACTAATGCCGCAACAACTTTACGTATTGACAGTTCAGTTATACCTTGTTTTCTAACATAAACATAATCGGACCTATGTCAGCAGGACGTTTAATCAAATCGATATAATTCATTATTTATAATTGTTGTCATGAACCGTAATCATTGCGCCATTATCACTGACCCCTGAATTGGGTGTTGTAAAAGATTACGTTACCCACTTCCAGAATTGTAGCCTACATGCTCTGATGACACAACCTAATTTTGGCGGTGTCATAGCACCTGCCAGCACTATTAGTCCTTCAGTCTGTGATAGAGTTATTGGTTTCATAGCAATCGATCGTACTCGAAATAGTGCGAAAAATAAAGTATCGATTTCTAAATGCCGTGTAATATGTCGTACAAAGACTCTAGATTTAGTTTTAGTTTCTCTATCAAAATTATATAGAATTAAAATATACAGGAAACAATATTGGTATCGTAACGTTTTAGGTTTCATCAAGTCGAAAAACAGTGTTGAAGTAGTGGTTAGCACATGTATACATAACTATTGTATCACAGGTATCAACAGTCTGTAAAGTGTTTATGTTATTTTATCAGTTGACACAAAAACCGACATATTTCTGTGACTTGAAATTTTAAAAGTGTTGCTTTCCAATTACTGATACTTTCCTTTACAACAAAGTAAGGTATTTTTGTTTGGCTACATTTTTTAAATATACTATTTGTGAATTAATCTACCTATATTTTATCTAAGTCATGGACATCTGATATCGTGAATTAAGAGTTTTAATAAAAACCTTAATAAATCCCTCAAGAAAGTTTTCTATTTCAATGAATATTTTACACAATAGGAGTGTGAGTTATGATGTAGAACACAGTAAAATAGATCATCATGGCAGCAGTTAAAATTATAAATTTTTCTTGTTAGGCAGGTTAAACCGTCTAGAACCTACAACATATCTCTCTGTCAGGCTTCATATGTTATGTTACTAATATATTATACAAAGATATGATACGATTGCATGCCTTTTGTATTGGCTGCAGACGAAATTGGGTTGGATATCATGGTATCCGAGTGTACAAACACATGCACAGATATGAATACTTATCCATCAAAACCAGAGTAATACGTGATTTTAAAAGAGAACCGATTCTCGTGACAGGAAATGTCTCAAAGAAATCGTATAAAAAGTATTTGTGTCACAGAATCGTTGTCATTGTCTTGATGTAGACCGTTAAATCAATACAAAGGATAGCATGGTAAGTTAGTGATATAATGATTTTTAACACATGGGATTTACAGTAGCAGACAGCAACAAAGTAAAAATCCTTTTAAAAGGAAATGTATATTTTTAATTTTTATTTCCTTGTCAAGCCATTGACCTTTTAAACATTACTGCAATATGTTGATAAAAATTGGACCGTTTATGGTATTAACCTAAACAATCAATAACTTAACTACCGTCTGTAATTCACAGACTGATAAAGACTGTCACTTAGTTGGCCTTATGATACCAGTAAGTATATGTCGTTTTAATTGTTCGCTATGTCGTAAAACTCCCTTCGATAGCAAAATACCACCATAAACGGATATAAAAGCGATATTGACATCAGATTTTATTTTTAATTAAAAAAAATATACTTTAAGATTAAACGTATTTCATCAATTTCGAAACCATGTTTTTTTTTATCACTTAACTATTTATAACAAATTCATCCTTGTATTTTAAAGTTTGGCGTAGTCTCACATTCGTTATTGGTGCAAGAAATGCCTTATAAGTTATTTTCTGCAACATGCCTTCCTCTTTGATGCTATCATTACAATATCTAAACACATTATCTCAGTTGTAGAATAATTGTTTAAGTCGTTTCGACAGTGTTAAATCCGAACTCAACCACAACTTACGCCCACCATCGCTGAATGTCTGCCAAGCAGACGGGCGGGGCGAATACCGTTTCATAGATTTATCGTTCCGACACCTTGAAGTCGTGCGTAACCTCTAGACTCATTAAGTATGCATCTATTATCATAATTAATGCATTCATTTATTTATGACTTAATACGTTAAAAAAACTGAAGTCAATATGCCGACGTTTTGACAAGTAATATCATAGGAATGCATTTGTGTTAAACAAATGGGTCAACCATTGTTGATATATCGCCCAGGGTTTCCCCTATAAAACAGGCCTTTAATGTGCTTAAACAGACATAAAAACCATAGAAGTACTCGTCTGTTGACATTGGTTGTATATCAGGTTAGTGTTAGATTTTTAAAAAATTCTTATTGAGAAAAAAAACTGAGAGCATTTCTAACAGTATAAATCAATTATGTTCTTTAATACTAGACTAGGTAACAGGCCAACCATGGCGGTTACCATGTCCATAAACAACTTGTTTATTTATGTTAATTTGCTGTTTGTAAGAAATGTTGACAATCTACCAGTCGCCAGGTTATATCGAAACGTTAGTGTACAACGTTCGTTACGTAAGAGCGGACCTTCATTATCTAATAATTGTTGTAAATCATTTGACTGTCATATTGTGTATGGACGAACATTCATATATCTACGATCATC